AAAACCAATTCTACAAGCTACGACGAGGTAGCACTCTGCCATCTGTTATTAAAAGCTGAAAACTATCTATATCATTTAATACAAATTCTTCCGTTCTTCGAATAGAAAACTTACAATCAAAAGTCTACAAATATAAGTAACAACGCGATGTTACACTACAGAATACTCCACTAGTTTTTTTTCTTTCAACAAAATTGCCGACACCTGTACAATTATCGACTTTCTGGGCAAATAAATGTAACACGAACAGAAACTTCGTGACTACACATCAAGCATTTTAATTACGGCAGTCAAATCAAGACGTTTAGAATAGACTTACACATGCAGCTCGGACGTTTGAAACAGGAAATTAATATAAGATGTCTGTGGGGGGGGGGGGGGGGGTTGTTTTTAAGCAAACGGCCTACTGACGATGTTAATTGGACTGAACAGGAATTAAAAACTCAACCTACATTTTAGAAGTACAATTAATTTCTTCTACAATAAACGTAACAGTACCATGAACAATTCTTATGAAGTGAGTATAGACATTTGTTCCACAAACGAGTAGGAATCCTGAACCAATTACCAGTAGAAAAGACCCTTTTAAATTCAACGGGGAATGATTTCTTTTGTATTTTCATCTCTCTCTCTCCAACTTTATCTGATTTAGAATTGGTAAAAAGGTTCACATTTGTTCATGTCATTACTATTAATTATTCACTTAATATTACGTACATATTTCGCCATAAACATTTTCTCAGCATGCAGGATATACGATAATATGTCCGACCAATTTCATTCAGGGTTGCATACGTTGTTTAGAACAAGGGGATCAGTGCTAATTTTTATGTCTCGTCGTCTGCAACGCTCTGTCCCCCCCTCCCTAGTAAGAGCTATATCCTGAATATGACTGGCTTTCATTCCCCTACCACTATCTCCCCACACAGCATGCCAGTGACTACACTTCTACTTGAAGGTAGTGGAATTTTCCACGCGAATTAAGGTTTGTGCAAAGAAACCAGTCTGGCCAGAGAACGTTCGAGATATACTAAAAAGAAACAAAGAAAATGTACACGCTTGCCTTTAAATAAACTGTCAGGTGATTGCGATAAAAAAACAGCCAAACATCATCTGCTCCAAACTTTAAGCATGCCAGAATACGTAGAAAGTTAGTAACGGGCTTTCTGTGGCACGGATTTCAAATGCAGCACAATACTCATCACACGAAGTGCACCGTACAAGTGAAATGTGTACTCAAAACTGTCTGGAGTTTCTCCACTGACAGACTCAGTTCGATGACTGATCCGGAACCACAAAGTCCGTCCCCTGATTTATTTACAAAAAAAAACACAAAACTGTTTACGGATAAGGCAAATTCAATGCTTCCATCGAGCTCAAGATGTCTTCCTAGCATCTCCTTCGACGTCCATTTCACAAATTATTTAGATTATTTAACGACGCTGTCAGTAACTGAGACTAAAAGCGACAGGTCGTGGCCTAATTTAGGGTAGGGCCACCCCCCCCCCGATATTTACCTGTGGGGACTTAGGATACCTGCCTAAGTCAGGATAATGCTACAAATGTAGCCTATATTATCCTCCTTAATTTAAGTTAAACATCTCAATAATTAATTGCAGAGTGTAGTAATGATACAAATAACAAATCCAAACTATCATAAGAGACTTCCCGAAAAATTCGATATTTTGAGAAATTTGTATCAGTAACTACATTGACACCTGTGGTAGTAATTTCAGTTTACGATTATGACGCACGTGCATACAGTATTGTTTTATGTTCCCACACACGCTCCATAAACAGACTAACACTATCTTTCATTTTACTTTCGCATAATGAGCAGAGAGTTTCGATTCCACCTGTCGAGATCATTAGTCATGTTTCATAATCGGGAGATCCCGCACAGGAAACTATGATTTGTGTTGTTTCAAGCTTATGCTATGCAAATTTTTGAGATAACGTTCTTGAAACGAATATCATGAATGCTTACTCTCACGACTTTCCAAATCTGTAACTGTATAATCCTTCTATCATTCGAAATTACGTAACTTGCAAAGTTGATAAATTCACATTAAATATGTTCTATATGGTCTTCCAAGTGGCCGACTTGGAATAAATAGGTTTGACCACAAAAATTTGTAGGGGCCTTTTACCTCAAAAACGTCTTTATTTCTATGTCAGATAGTGGAAAACTTCGAAATAAAATATCCCTAAAAGGATACTAAAACATGGCCACAAACCTTCAGAAACCAAACCAAACCAAAATACTTATTTCTACGTTTCTATACTCCGCCCCCAATCCGAGTTATATTTCCAGCCCAAAAAATGACTTTAAGGCGTTGTGATTGTACCATTTATAAAATACAGAATTAACAAAATCAGGTACATACATTTTTATGCATTAATTATCTTACAATACCTTATCCTACTTATATAAAGTGTTTAAACTGTACTGACCTCGTCTATACATTTGACTTTCAGAAATCGTGGATTGGTAGTTTAATGCCACTGTCCGCCCTACTTGGAGGGCTTGCTGGAGGACCTCTGATCGAAACAATTGGCAGGAAGACTACAATCCTTGCGACAGCATTGCCATTCGTTATCTGTAAGTACGATGTACTTGGCAAAAGACATCTAGACAATGCACTGACCTTCGTTACATACTCTGGAGGTTTCCACCAGTGCGTGATTTGGCACAATATTTTAAGAAATGTGTTCTGAATTCTTAATAAAAATTTAAATGAAACAATAAGATCCAGGAAGAACATATTACGTTTACTTTCCTTCAACACTTCGAATCTATTCTGGCCGGCGTTAACAACAATTATAAATGAATAAGAATAAAACGTAGTGATTCACTACGTCAAAACTTGTCACAATTTCGCATCGTCTTCACATATGTACTTGTTAACATAAAAAAACGTTCCATTTATCATATATAAGCGAGCACAATTTCACAAAACTGCTTTCCGACGGCTTATTACAGAAACCGGAAGCGACAAGAATTTCGGGCGGCAGCCACGTTCTTTTGCATAACAAAAGAAAAACTACTCATCACATATAATTCATGGACTCTGAATTAGATGGAGTTAATGTCGCCTCAACATATAATTCACGGACTCTGAATTAGATGGCGTTAATGTCGCCTCAACATCGGAAGTTCGTACAGCCTTGCGTTGGACCAACCATTTACCTAAAGCCGGGGTTCTCAGCCTTTTTCGCTGGCGTACCACTAACCAAATGCGTTCAAGGGAAAACTTATTTATGTTAATATTATCTTTTAATTTTCTTACTTAGTTCGCGTACCATAGGTTGATAAAACGCTGATCTAAAGAATTCTAAAATGTGTAACGCAATGGAAAATCCAAATCTAATTGTCAGGTCATGATGAAATACTTCATTATCAAATGTTCCCAATAACAGCACCACAATGCTACGGTAAAACATTTATCTTATATTATCGCAAATTTTAGCGGCCAAACTACTACTAGTCAGACAGAGCATTTACAACCGGCGTCTAAGATTCGTTATCCCAGCCAAAACGTGTTGTAAACATTAACAGATAAAGTTGATTTTAATCGCACAACGAAACGACCATCAAAGAACAGACTACGATAATGCTCGCGGCGGACGTATACGGAACTATTACATACACATCGATAAAACTTGTCCATCGTTGTATATACGATGTATAAGAGATGAGGTTGTTGAACTTTCTACGTCATATGATGGATCACTGACGCAAAGCAGGGAAAGTAAGTGCCTACCAAAAGTACCATCATCGTCTCCAGTACGAAATCCGGTCAAGAATGAGATGAATATGTCAAAACGTATAATTTTTTATACAAACACTAACATGCCTTTCAATGTTCATAGCATAAACTTACTAAATACATAAAATATTTTTGTTTATTACAGCGTGGCTGTTGATTGCCTTGGCTGTAAATGTGCCTATGCTGTACGCTGGTAGAGTGGTCGCTGGGTTCTGTGTAGGCATGGCATCGCTGTGCTTTCCAGTGTATCTCGGAGAAACACTTCAACCAGAGGTTAGGGGGATGTTGGGACTTCTACCAACAACGTTTGGTAACGTAGGTAAGTTGTCAGACCAACTTCACAAATTGTCAGTTGCACTGGAAATATTTTAAACTTTCGTGCGAGTGAGTGAGGGGTAGAACTTCACGATCAGGTGATATTAAGTAAAGTAAAACTTGTCTAATGCATAGCCTGGATTAAACTTAAAACCCTCCTTTATTGGAAAATGTCAACAGTCCCAAGAATACAGAGCAGCAATCAACGAAAATTACGTCCCAAAAAAATGAAGACTTTAATGAAGGAACAGAAATGAAAATCAAGAACTTTATTGAAAACAATCTCTTGAGTATTTATTTATTCATGTTTGCTCTGTATTGTTTTACTGGAATTTATCTGAGAACCAAACATTCCAGTCACAAACTGGAAAAAAATGAAGCCTGATCCTTGACAAAGCGTTACACGCAGAAGACTGCTCTATATATGGATCGCCATAAAAGTCCATTTTGTTTCATCGTCTTCTAAATCTGTTTTTATTTAAACAGGAATCTTACTGTGTTACTCTGCTGGAAAATATCTGGACTGGTCTATGCTTGCAATTTTGGGAGCCTGCATTCCTGTACCATTCCTAATTTGCATGCTGTTCATCCCAGAGACACCGAGATGGTACTTTTCAAAGGGTAAGTATCTAGTACATAAAACATTCATATTCTAGTAATGCTTATTATTCAAAAATTAAATGCTCAAAACCTCCCGAGTTTCAAAATCATATTGCAGACTTAACAGACAGAAATTATTTTTCTTAAATTTAATTAAATATTAGCCATACCAAAATATGTTTCAAAGTAAAGTGGCAGATCTTAATAAGATATATATTTTAAACCACAAACCAAATTTATAAATGGAGAACGGTTTTTGAAAAAAGTGTAAAAGCTTGAATCGATCTTCATGTAAAATATATGACATTTTGAGAAGATATAAACCAAAATTGCCTGATATATTTTAATGTAGTCCCAGTACAAAATTCAATTTGAATTCATTACAACGTTTCAGAGACGAAGGTGCAGAGAGAAGGTTGGTTTACTTTGTGACCTTTGTGCAAAGAACACATTTACATTTAGGATGACCGCAGGCAGTCTTCTAATTTCTGTAACAGTATTTATTAAAATCACTACAAGAAAAATAAAGTGTCATCTTTTGTTTTTGTGCAGGTAAAGGAGAAGAAGCCAAGAAATCTCTCCAGTGGTTACGTGGAAAAGACACTGATATCTCACATGAACTAAGGGAAATTGAAAATTCTCATACTGAATCAAAGAAGAGCACTGGTTCATCATTTGAATTATTCAGCAAGAGCAACATCAAGCCTCTGCTTATCTCTCTTGGACTCATGTTCTTCCAGCAAATGAGTGGTATTAATGCTGTTGTCTTCTACACAGTAATGATTTTTGAGGTAAGGAAATTTAAATTAAATGTACTGTAAGATTTGAGGTTTTCACGGCTGTCAGTCAGAAGATGGCTGTCTTCTGGGTTGTTGCGCTCTGTAGTCTGGTCGATGATTACCAACGTTTCAGAGGTCATACTCCCTCCGTCATCAGGGCGATGCGTATGAAGATTTCTGCCTTCTGGGTTGTTGCGCTCTGTAGTCTGGTCGATGATTACCAACGTTTCAGAGGTCATACTCCCTCCGTCATCAGGGCGATGCGTATGAAGATTTCTGCCTTCTGGGTTGTTGCGCTCTGTAGTCTGGTCGATGATTACCAACGTTTCAGAGGTCATACTCCCTCCGTCATCAGGGCGATGCGTATGAAGATTTCTGCCTTCTGGGTTGTTGCGCTCTGTAGTCTGGTCGATGATTACCAACGTTTCAGAGGTCATACTCCCTCCGTCATCAGGGCGATGCGTATGAAGATTTCTGCCTTCTGGGTTGTTGCGCTCTGTAGTCTGGTCGATGATTACCAACGTTTCAGAGGTCATACTCCCTCCGTCATCAGGGCGATGCGTATGAAGATTTCTGCCTTCTGGGTTGTTGCGCTCTGTAGTCTGGTCGATGATTACCAACGTTTCAGAGGTCATACTCCCTCCGTCATCAGGGCGATGCGTATGAAGATTTCTGCCTTCTGGGTTGTTGCGCTCTGTAGTCTGGTCGATGATTACCAACGTTTCAGAGGTCATACTCCCTCCGTCATCAGGGCGATGCGTATGAAGATTTCTGCCTTCTGGGTTGTTGCGCTCTGTAGTCTGGTCGATGATTACCAACGTTTCAGAGGTCATACTCCCTCCGTCATCAGGGCGATGCGTATGAAGATTTCTGCCTTCTGGGTTGTTGCGCTCTGTAGTCTGGTCGATGATTACCAACGTTTCAGAGGTCATACTCCCTCCGTCATCAGGGCGATGCGTATGAAGATTTCTGCCTTCTGGGTTGTTGCGCTCTGTAGTCTGGTCGATGATTACCAACGTTTCAGAGGTCATACTCCCTCCGTCATCAGGGCGATGCGTATGAAGATTTCTGCCTTCTGGGTTGTTGCGCTCTGTAGTCTGGTCGATGATTACCAACGTTTCAGAGGTCATACTCCCTCCGTCATCAGGGCGATTCTTAGTATGAAGATTTCTGCCATCCTGTACATAACTGATCAAATTACAGGTTTCTCCCAGCTCCTTCCTCACAAAATGTGACTTAATTTAATCTTTTTCTTGTTTCCAGGCTGCTGGAAGCACGCTTGATGGCAATACGTCCACAATTATAGTTGGCGTTGTAAACTTTGGTTCAACGTTCTTGGCAACCATGCTGATTGATCGTTTTGGACGCAAAGTGTTGCTCTACATCTCTTCGGTAGCCATGGTACTCTCACTGATGGTTCTCGGCACATTCTTCTACATGAAGGACCACACCGATACTGATGTAGCTCCTTACGGCTTACTTCCACTAGTCAGCTCTGTTGTTTACGTTATTGGCTTCTCATTTGGTTTTGGTCCAATTCCCTGGCTAATGATGGGAGAGATCTTACCAGGTAAGTTCACTCAAACTTCATTAGCGTAGCTTTATTTTTAAATCCATTTAACACATATTCAGACCCATGATCAATCACACAACCAGTGTAACTTCTCCTCTCTTAAAATTTTACAACTGAAAATTTCTAATGCCATAAACAATATAGTATTTGTTTTTGAAGTTAATTTTGTAGTTACCAGAAAAACTCAAACATGCTTTGAATTGACAACAGTTATGCAACAAGTTAAATATCTCACTGAAATACTGATACTTCAAAGTGTGTTAAAGAATATAGTTATAATAACTTGATAGGATTAAAAATTATATTAAAATTGGCCGTCAATCACAATATAAGATAATTAAAAGATTAAAATATCATTTTTCGTTCCGTATCGAGTACTCGATTTACATATGGAACATTTACGACATGTTTCGGCTATCATAGAGCCGTCATCAGGTGTTATGTTATAAACTTT